GTGGTTAAACCCTTGTCCACTCCGTCTATAAAATGCCAATTATATAGCGTAGGTGCTTCATGACTAAAGTTTACCTACCCCAAAGAAAAAAATCTAATATATTGCAACTTACTAGTTACTGGGGGGATAACGAGGTGAAAAAGGGAAGATTAAGCCTGAAAAAGAGAACTAATGTAACCATTACATCTGGTAGTTCTATTTTTCAGGCTTAATCTCTCCTTTTTCACCTGGTGATCCCCTCAGTAACAAACTTCCTATCCTAGGGTGACTCTCTGCACTGTATCTATGGACGAAGAGTGTCATTGCCCTAATTCAGGAAGTGTGCTAAGACTACATATCTACCCTCTTCTTTTCTCTATTACACAGGGGCAAGGTGTTTGTAAGTAGTCAACAGAGAACTAAGAAGCGCTGATAACACTACTATTTTTGTACAGCCGTTGGACGCTCACCAGATTCCTGGCAGGATCAGTAGATATTTTTTATGTATTTGCAGTGGTTTCACAGAGACAAACCATGGGGGCAAGTGGATGTATTGAAGATATATACTGAATATGTGTGGATTATTTTTGCCTTGACAAATAGTTTAATAAAAAGAAGGCAGGTTAATATACTTCTCAAGTATACAAGGGAACATGGCACGCTACTTCAAATGACTCCAGTATTAATAAAAAAAGAAAGCTAGGTTGTGCTTTTAATATTTCGTCTGAGATCTTGGCCTCATTCCAAGCTAGGTTGGGTGATTTTTGCTTAATTCCCCATTTCCTTTGTTAGTGCTTGTGCCAGTCTTATTCGTAACCTTGATTGAACTGAAGCCCATGTCTTGAAAAAGTGACAAAAGAACAAGAAAGCTGATTGAAGGGGTCCATTATGTATCAACATATAGGAAGAGTGATTGATGAAACTCCCAGTCACCTTCACTGTGAGCAGCTGCACCTGTATCCTCTATGTCAAATGACCTGAAAATCCTGCTGACAGTCTCACATTCACCACAAGGATATACCGCTCAGTACTGTGCTTTAACATTATTTTAATTGCCTGCAAATTGTAGTCAGGGAATCAGTGTCATCTGATTAGAATATTTTTTTTTTCTTCTTCTTTGGGCTTTATAGACATTAGCAACTTAATCTTTACAAAGAAGACTGACAAATAATTTAGGATTATTCATAAAGAAGAAAAAGTCCAGATTAATAAATAAGCTATGCATAGATGTATTTATATTTACAAGGTGAATCAAAATTCCAGGTGACTAGGGGGCCAACTGCTGACAAAATGAGTGAAAGCATTGAAATCTCTCTAGAGGCCTACTCAAGCTGTATTTTTAAGTTACTGATAGGGTCTCTAAGTTTAGCGATTTTGCCACGTACACATTTTTGGACTACACAGTTAATTGACTCAGGGCCAACGTGAGGGGGCTACACCGACTAAAATCTGCTGTGTAGATTATTGACATTTATTGCATGATTAACAACATTTCCAGTGAAAGTTGACTGGCATATACTGTTCACATAAGTATCATTCAACCTACCGTATCATTAACGTATTTCATGTACTTGCATTCTACTCTTTTCTATTTCTTCTCTTTCTTACATTAATATACTTTTCTGTATTGTACTTTTCAAAAGTGCCTTGTTTTTGCTGTAAATATTATTTGAGAATGTGCTGTTTTACAGTCTACTTTTATACAATAAAAAAAACCATTTGTAAACAAAAAAATCTGTTGTGTAGGGGCGTGAGCTAATCCTGCACCTGTAGACTTAACAAGAATTTAACCCTTGGAGCATGGGAGGGCCCCACTGAGCACATTGAGGCTTAATGAAACAGGCAGTGAGGGAAAGCTCTCTAATGGAGCCCTACATAGCAATGGAATCTGGCATAGGTATTAATCCTACCCAATTCTATCCAAAGCTTAAAGGATAAGTTCACCTTTCGTAACCTGTTACATTACAAATATTTAGGGTGTAACATGTAATGAACGGACCGGCCCCTGCTCCACCCCATTTACCTGTTGTGACAGCTAGCAGGGGATCTTCTCTTTGCTGCTAGCTGTCACAATTTTAAAAAACCACAGGCGTGCGGGGATCCACCCGCCTGGCCACGTCATTCATTCAGTGTTCTGTGAGTGAATGAACTACAAGTCCCAACATCCTTTGCAGCTGTCAGCTTGTAGTTCTCAATGAACTACACGTCGCTGTAGAGCCACATGGTCAGGGCAGTGGATAAGGGGGTACCCACCAGTCCTTCTGTATGGGGCCCAAGCCAGCAGGGGGGCCCAGGCAGCTAGATGAAACAGATGTGGGCAGGGAGGATGATCAGCACGGTGGGGGGAGCAATTACTGGAACCAATCCCCTGCATGGCTCTCTCTGCAGCAGCTGAAAGCTAGCTTCTTCTCCCCCCGCCCCCCGAGCTTTCAGCTGCTGAGAGAGCCATACAGGGCATTGGTTCCAGTAATTGCCCCCACCGAACAAATCACCAACCCTGTGCACCATACATTTCCCCCTGCTGCCCAGGCCACCCTGTGTGCCTCCCCAACCTCACAGTGATACCAGCTGCCCTCCACTCCTTCCCACCAGCATCTGCAAGCACACAATGGGATCCTTCAGGATGGAAAGTTGGGGAAGGGTCCTGTAAATACATCACATTTAGCAGCCCCTTCCTTACCTGAATGAACACAATGAGTGATCGTTACAGATCGCTCACTGTGTTCATTCATAACTAAAGCATAGTAAACTGTGTTTATTGGGGGGTCCTGTCAGGTTGGCTGTATAGGGCCCCATGGTTTCTAACAGCAGCCGTGCCGTGGTAGTTCACTGACTCTTCCTGTCAGT